TGTTTGAACTCAATATACTCTTCCTTAATTGAATATTGAAAAACTTTTTGGAGTAGTGTTTTTATGAGCCATATTTTTGGAGGCCAATTGTTATGTTGAAACACTACTCCAAACAGTTTTTCAATATTCAATTAAGGGAGAGTATATTGAGTTCAAACATCAATAGTATAAAGGTTTAGCTTAGGTAATATGAAAAAATCAAATTGAACTTTATCGGGCTGATAGGAAAGAACGTTCAAAATATACTAATTTTCGTGATAATGCCTATACGACATATAGTATGATTAGCTCAACTATCATGGGAAATTGTAGGACAGTAACTAAAAATTAAATATCTAGCGGAGGATGCACGGAGGATACTAAAAAATATTAATTTTATAGTTAATGTATTACGGGTTTTAACTACAATTAAGTATGAATAATGTGGTTTATAGAATCGTTCTGCCCCCTCTTCTCCTCCACCCTATGGGATTAAACATAAGATTCTATGTTAATCCTATAACTATGTTTTAACATGGGGAAGATCTCATAGCTTTAACATGGGGATGTTTTAACATGGGGATGTTTTAACATGGGTTTCTATGCGATTACAGCTTAAGTCTATGACATAAATAAACATGGTTAATGCTAAGTCTATGGCATAAGAATAACATGGATAATGCTAAGTCTATGGCATAGAAATAACATGAGCAATGCTACGTCTATGGCATAAAAATAACATGGGTAATGCAAAATCTATGGCATAGAAATAACATGTGTTTCTATGCAATTACAGCTTAAATCTATGACATAAATAAACATGGTTAATGCTAAGTCTATGGCATAGAAATTACATGGTTAATGCTACGTCTATGGCATAAAAATAACACGGGTAATGCTAAATCTATAGCATAGGAATAACATGGATAATGTTAAATCTATAGACAATACTAATTTTATTGGACTAATGCTAATCCTATGAATCACCCGAATTGTGGTTATTATAGTTTTAAATTGCGCTCATCATGGTATTATGTCATGGAATTAACATTGTTCATAGGATTAACATTGTCGATAGAATTAGCATTATCTATGTTATTCCTATGTCATAGACTTAACATTGTCCATAGGATTAGCATTGACATAGACTTAGCATTACCCATGTTAAACTATATCCATAGACTTAAGCTGTCATCTCATGTTAATTCCCCATAGATTCAAAAATTTCACGTTAAAGTATAGCCATAAACTTAAGCTGTACTCCCATGTTAAATTCCATAGCGCGGGGGGGGGGTAGCCTAACGATCTTATAAATCACATTATTCATACTGAATTGTGGTTAAAAATCAATTGATTATATTGATAACAATTAACTTTATATTATACTTTTATATATTTACAGAATTTAATAATTGGTTATATTTTGAAGTTTTTCAAAAACATTACTTGACTATCACTTTATAACAATTTTAGACTCGTTATAGCATTAATTATTTAATATAAAATTATTTGATACCTTATAATGAAATATTTTCAATATAGCAAACAATGATACATCACGATTTAATCGCATCCCGGAAACTATCCCGATCAAATAGGTTTCTTCATTATAAACTAATACAATTAATTCTTTTGGATAGTGTAATATTGATTGGGGAACAAATGATACATGAAACTATTAATTATAATATAATATAATATTAGAAAATTATCCGTTTAATTACTCATAAAGTTTTAATATGTTTGAAATTATACATTACCCCATTATTTATGTGATTAACAAATATAATAGGTATATTTAAAACACATAGAATATGTTTTTCAAACGATAAAAACATGCCATATAAATCTGCCTGATACATTTAAGAATTAATGTTATAAATCTATTAAATAAATATACAGTATTATCATAAACAAAATATTAAGATTCTTACAACATGTTGGATAACTAAAGGATAGTTGAACGATATATTATGGCCATTCTCATCGCAATTATATACTTTATTTAATTCTATTAAAACATACGGTATAACGGAATATATAGTCATTATTAAATTAATATACTTAAACAACTATAAGATCATAAACAATTAAGTTTAATAAATAATATATAAACTATTTTTATTATAAATTAATTTCTAAAATAATTTTTTTAATATAAATTTCATTAATATGCATTTAATCATAAACTAAAAAATTAATAATGTTTTTGTCTGTATTATTACTAAAGCATCGTATTTTAACTATAGTAACTATTTTAGCGGTTAATGGGATTAGTCTAAGAGTTGGGATGTGCACCGATCATACCATTAGGGTCATATTGGCAAATTTTTATTTTAATTATAAATAACTATTTGACCCTTTTCGATAAACAAATATATCAAACTATTTGACCATGTTAACAACTATTTTAGTTAATTTTTGTTAAAAAAAATATGCCTAAAACTCATCAACTCATAGAATAAATTACATTCAAAATTTTTATGTAAACAAAGAGTCCACATGTTTCAACAAAAATATAGCTACAACAAATTAATTATTATGTATCCGATGTTATAATGTGTTCATATATTAAGAATTGATATTGAAAATAGTTTTAATAACTTAAAGTCAATCTAAAAGCATAATAGAAAATGTTTTGCTTTGTAAATCGTGTATAACTGTTAATATATCGTTGATTTATTGACCAATTTACCTAATTTAATGAGAAATTAAGGAAAAATAAATAACTATTTAAACAACTATTTGACTTCTTTTTATTAACTACGAGTTCATTAAGCCCATTTAAAACTGGCGCGCTCAAATCACATACCCTATTATAACCCACTCTGCTCGTATGAACATTGCATCACACAATGCAATACAATGAATGGATGTATGTGTGTGTGAGAGAGAGCCCACAATCAGAGGCAATGCAATATATTTAATAAATATAATAAGATTATAGTAACTATTTGAGAGGCAATAAAAAACAATTTTGCAATGCTTTGATTATTACATTTGCATTACATTGCGTGTTATTAATAATAACTTATTATATTTATTACATTTATCATTAAAGTATTATTAGATCATGTGATAAAAGACTAGCCTATCTTTTAATCTAAATTTTTCAATTGGTTTCATTATTCAAGTTTACATTCTAAAACATCAGAAATCATATAAACTATTTTTAGGGTACAATTCTATAAAAACAAATTTAAAATATAATTGATGGTTTACGAGTAAATTGCAAAATAGTGCGCCTAGTTTTGCTTTTGAATAATTGTATAAATCCACTTTTTATCGTCCATTTTAATGTTTTTTATTTCAAAGTATACTTTAATTGTTACATAGGAAACTGACACTTTATTAAAAGCACAGTATATTGGCTGCTACATTTGTTATAAAACGACTAATTAAAAACTATTTATGAAAAATGATTGTTGGTGCTTAAGAATGTAAACTAAAATAATTAAATCAATTTCATAATTCTATCTACAATGGAAATTAGTTAGGCCAACACTTTATCAAATTACCTAATTTTATAAACAGTTTCCCACATAGTAAAACACAAATAAATTTAATTAAATTTTCATTTAGTTATTTACAAACAGGGTGGATTAATAAAAATGAGTATTATACTATTAATTAATTTGTTGTGTTGTATTTATTAATTTTAATTAATTTATATATTAAACCTTCGACCGCTTATTAAGGCATAACTAACCAGGGGGAAATTCATCCCCCTCCATTAAATTGAGGGATGTGGCAAACAATGAGAAAGTCATGCCCAAATTCTAAGTGTACTTGCAACTGAATTAATTTTTTAAAAATCGGTAAAATCCCATATAACTTTGCATTTTGACGCCAAAAAGTTATATGAAAATAATGATAGCCCTCTATAAGAGGATTCCAAAAATATCTAATATACCTCTTTAACATTAGTAACGCCACCGTTGCAGCAATTTAAATTTCAAAGAATTTTACTCAATTTTGCCTATTTCTGTTAAGGTTTTTGAATAAACTAGATTATATAGCATATTAAATGAGCGCAATTGATAAGTTTTAACAGACTATTACGACGAAAAACATGGCCAGAAGTGGGAAAAATTGAGTAAAATTTTTCAAATTAAAATAGTTGTCACTGGGCGCTACCAATGTCATATTATTAACAAGTATATTACATATTTTTGGTATCATTTTATAGTGGTTGGACGCAGTATCCTTTGGACGAGAGTATGACACTTGCTTGAAACCCATTTGCTCGAAACCCACTTGCTCAAAATTTATAAATGTAATTAGTAACGTTATAATTAATATAAAATACCATTATTATTAAATTTATTACAAAAGTGGGTTTTGAGCAAGTGTCTACGTCCCCCTTTGGACGCCAAGTGCTAAAATAAGATTGCCATTTCCCGCATTATTACAGTTTTATGCCTTATTTCGAACAAATTTGAATGTTATATTTTGGGAAGATTATGTTCTAATAGTTTTCAAATGAAATTTATTTTCTATTTTTTAATTCATTTTCATAGAAGTTGTTTTTATTTGTTTTTAAATTAAACAGTCCTCCTTAGTTTTGAAGTCAACTGTAATTTTTGACTCATCTTGGTAATTTTGACTTTTAATCAATCGCAACTTAAAGAATTATTGATCAGCCAATACTCATTAGTAATTCAAACTTTTATTGTAACATGAATCTTAATTGGTCAACTGATTATCAGTTCGCCAATTAGGAATGCGTTAAACATTATTTGTATTACTATTATTGTGAAGTTATTTTTGCACCGGAATTTAAAATTTTCTTTAAATCATTCTTTAGTAGAACTGCACTTAAAAATAAAGTAAAGTATATATTATTTGGACATTATTTTTATAAGTATTAATAATTATATTTATATAAACAGAAATATTGTTGCCGTTCAGCCGACAATTGTGTGATTACTCCCAATTCACGAAAGTTTTGCCCAACGTGTAAACTCACTAAATGTTTTGAAATGGGAATGAAAAAGGTAACAATTTTTAATTTTTAAAATATGATTGTATTAAAAACATTTCATATAATATATAATATAAAAAATGCATACGAGATGTGAAGGAAAACGAGTGGAGAAGAAATTATTCAAAACAAAAATTACTGAAAACTTTGCCATTAATTTCCGGTCAAAACTCAACAAACAATTCATCAAATGTTTACAAAGGAGTCGAGAATCTAACCGATAGAACATTATATAAAAACAATAAACACTTTGTGAACACAAATATAGACATTGTTCGGTATAATAGTCACAATATACGGGTGAACTCAAGATCACTACCAGTGGTTCCGGTATTAAAAATTTTGATCGATTATAACGGTTTGAATCAATTGGAGTGCAATCGTATCCGAGAGTTGTTTACGGCGTCCAGTATTTTACACTATCCTATGCCTAAAACTCTTACCCCGATTACTGATGGCCAACTCATTCAACAAATTATAGCTCCGGGAGCCGAAGCACACGTCAAGAATATTGTCACATTCATGAAATGTTTGACCTGGTTCAATCATATATGTGAAAGTGACCAGTTTGCTATTATCAAGTCGGCAACATTTGATCTAATTATTTGGCAAATTTTCTCATCTTATGACATCGAGTCAAGTAGTTATATTGTTCAAGTGGTATACAACTCTCTCTCTCTCTCTCTCTCTCTCTCTCTCTCNAAAACTGTTTGTGATTTACTCGAGGCTTATATAATATATATTTTTCATTTTAATCATTTAATTTGATTAGTTTTTATACATTAGCTATGGTCTCTCTCTCTCTCTCTATCTCTCTCTCTCTCTCTCTCTCTCATTATTATTATTATTATTATTTACAGGATTCAGAGAATGGGTATAGTTTTAAATTGGGAACTACACTACCAATAATAGGGAAGTTAAACGTGCTTGATAAAATTAAATCCTTTATATTAAGATTAACAACCGTTTGGCAAAAGGATCCGATTATTACAGAATTGGTCTGAAATTAATAATTATTTATAAAACAATTTTGTTATTAATTTACATTATGTTTATTGTTTGATATGTAACTATAGCTATCAGTAATTATACTATTGAATCCCGATGTTCCAGATTTAAACCATGCTGACATGATAAAGTAAGCAAATTACTTTACAGTATTAATAAGTTATACTATATTTGTTAATTTAATTTGTTTGTTAGACTCAAACAACAACTGTATATATATATTTACTGCAAAGATATTTACTATTGAAGTGTCGATCAGAATCTTCAGCCCAAACACGACTACAAAGTTTAATGCAAATATTGAATGAAATAAAATTTATAAGTCGTGTGCAAATATTAAAACACACACAATACAAATGTATGGACCACTTTTCAGCGAGATTATCTAATATAACATCATAAAATATTAGCATTACTTATAATTATTGAAGTAAAATGTACAACATTTTATCATAATTGATAGCAAGTGTATTTTTGTAAGTACACATGTCTAATGACAAAAATGTAACTTTAAGTACATAGATGTAATAGACAAAACACGTAACTCTAATTGTGTTACAGTGCATTCAGAACATGATTGATATATACAGCTATTAATGCTATCACATTTTTAATATTTCTGTATTTATTATACTATTTAATTGTAATATTGAGTGATATTGTTAATTATTTTATTGGAATACAATGTCGAATTTTGTTTATTAAAATAAAATATTAATATAAAAATTGTGGCATTACAATTCGTATAAAGTAATAATTTTTTTATATGCACTCAATTAATATAGTGCAAATAAATGTTTAATTAAATGTTTCAACATATTATATTGTTCAATATTGTGAAATAGAAAAAATGTGCATGTAAAGATATTAACAATAAGATATTTTCCATATAACTAAAATATCAGTGTTTAATGTTTATGCATACAATATAAATGTCAGTTACATCTCTATCACTCACTGAAAACTGATTAACAATATTCTAATACAGCTTTAATCCCAAAATATTTATTCCTTTACTTTTCAATGTACAGCAATGACCCCCTCCTGTATGAAACAAATATTCCCTAATTCTAGGATTTTATAATAATTACTGTAAATTGGACCATAAGTGCAACAATTGCTTTATTATTAAAGCATTAATCTGTTTTAATAATGTAACATGCAAGTTATGGTTTAGTATAAGTGTTTTCATTAATAATGATATAAAACAATAATACTTTATTGTGTTTGTAGTGATTGATTACAACATTAAATGCAAAATTCAAAAAGACTTAATTTTGTGTATGTTTTACATAATAAAAGTTATTGTCAATTAATTTTAAGTAAAATAGTTTATTAAACATAGAATAGTGTTGTGTATTGTTGGGTGAAATTATATATATTTATATCGACCACTAGTTATACTCCTGTAATACCTGACAACTGGTCCACCGATTTATTGAGTGACAAAACAATGCCATTCATTTGTCTGTATGTCTTGTGGTTCAGAAGTAATCCTCTCCCGAAGAAGTCCACTCCTGAAATAGCATTGGCAATGCTATCCAATGGCAATCCATATATTTAACAAATAAATGTGATATTTTTAAATTGCCTGGATCAATTGTTAAAATTTTTATCAAATTGTTATTTTCTTTATCTATTCTTTAAATGATAACACTTTACGGCATTTTATTATCTCTTTCTAAAAAAGTGCCATGGTCATTGTGCCAATGCTATTTCGGGAGTGGACTTCTTCGGGAGAGGATTACTTCTGAACCACAAGACATACAGACAAATGAATGGCATTGTTTTGTCACTCAATAAATACTCTTTCAAATCAAATCATCATACAAAAATTTTCGGTTAAATTTGACCACAAAATTGAGTTTGTACCAAGTCTCATATTTGAAATGCAATTGTTATATTATGAAATAACAATCAACTGATTAAATTGATAACAATTAACGTAATATTACACTCCCATATATTTACAGAATCTAATTATTTCTAATAATCTCTAAGTTATTCAAAAACATTACTTGACTATCACTTTGCAACCATTTTAGACTCGTTATAGCATTTATTTAATATAAAAATAGTTGATACCTTATAATGAAATATTTTCAATATACCAAACAATGATACATCACGATTTAATTGCAACCCGGAAACTATCTCGATTATATAGGATTCTTCTTTATAAACTAATACAAATTTGTCAAGATATTTTCTGATATATTTTGATATTGATCGGGTGGCAAATGCTACATGAAACTATTAATCATAATATTTGAGAAAAATCATTTGTTTAATTACTAATTTACTATAGTTTTAATATGTTTGAAATTATACATCACCCGATTATAATTGACAAATATAATAGGTTGATTTAAAACACATTTAATATGTTGTGTCAAAGATAATAGAATGCCAAATAAATCTACCTGCTACATTTAAGAATTTGTGCTATAAATTACTTGAATAAATATACAGTATTATAATAAACAAAATATTAAAATTCTTACAATAATTTTGATAAATAAAGGATAGTTGGATGATATATTATGACTACTCCCATCGCAATTATATACTTTATTGAATTCTATTATATCTACCGGTATAACGGAATATATAAAATATTTATGCATATTTAATTGGTTTACTTAAACAACTATAAGATCATGAACAGTTAAGACTAATAAATAATACGTAAATTGATGATATTTTAAGTTAATTTCTAAAATAATTTCATAAATATGAAATTGCATTTATTTATAAACTAAAAAATTAATGTTTTTGTTTGTTTAGTGTTATTATATTTATTATTAAAGTACTATTAGATCATTTGATAAAATATTGGCCTACATTCTAGTGTAGATAGAATTGTAAAATTGCTACCATTATTCCAGTTAACATTCTTAGGCACCAGAAATCAAGTTTCAAAAAGATTGAAGTATTTCTTGTTTATATGTATATTTAAAAGTATGTTGGTCAAAATTAGTTTACAAATTTAAACCAAAATATTTGACTAAAACTATAATATTTTTAGAGCATTATTATAAAGACAAGTTTGGAGTTACCGAATTACGCCGTATATAAATGCATGAATCAATTTAATAATTTTATCTACAATAGAAATATGTAGGCCAAGACTTTATCAAATTACCTAATATCTAAACAGTTTCCCATATATTAAAACATAAATAAATTTAATTAAATTTTCTTTTGGTTATTTACATACAGGGTGGATTAATAAAAATGAGTATTATATCCATATACAGTGCAACTTCTCTATAATGAACGACCAGTTGCACGACAAAAGTGTTCATTATAGGGAGGGTTCATCCAAGGGAGGTTCGAGTAAAAATGTCTTATTTTTGATAAATATTTATAAATAATAACAATTATTGAAAATAATCAGTAATTTTATTTTGTTTAGCTATATTTAAGTAATAGTTAAATGCATTAGTTTTAATTTTGTGAAATTGTTCAAATATTTGAGCATTGGATGCGTTTCTAGATATAAGGTAATAATTTAAAGTTCACTAATCAGAGAATGAATACTGATTTCTTACAATATTGAATGAAACTTGATATAAAAATGTGATTTTGTTTGCTTAAAGTCTTAGATTAGAAACTATTTTGAATATTTTTAGGAATCATGTGCTTATTATTATATTTGTTCATTATAGGGAGTGAAAGTTTTATCTTAATCTCTATAAATCCGTTCATAATGGGGAGGTATTCATTATGGAGAAGTTTACCTAAGGGAGGTTATTTTAACATTATAAGTATAGGAAATCCAACATAAATTNGTGAAAGTTTTATCTTAATCTCTATAAATCCGTTCATAATGGGGAGGTATTCATTATGGAGAAGTTTACCTAAGGGAGGTTATTTTAACATTATAAGTATAGGAAATCCAACATAAATTTCAAAACCGTTCATTATGAGGAGGTGTTCATCCAAGAGAAGTTCACTCAAGAGAAGTTGCACTGTATTTATAATAAATCTTGTTAACTGTACCTTAAATTGTTGCCATTGTATCTCAATTTCATCCTGGCTAATTGACTGAACGCTGACCATCAGAGCAATCATAGCCAACGATAATATACACAATGTGTTCATTTTATTATAATTATGACTAATATTATTTTTAATTAATATTTTAATAAATACAATTAAATCATAAATAATGGTTAAGTAAAAATTATATGTCAAACTTATATACTATTGGTTTAATTATCTACATTGATACCAAGAATTAATAGAAATAGAATATTATCTCACAATTACAAACCACCGGGGTACTTTTTATAGTTTAAATCATTCTCAGAATTAATTAATGTGTTAGAACATTTTTAATGCGTTAATCTCATAATATTCTTGATCCTTTTAAAGCGCTTATGGTCTCTTCCCTATGAGATTTAAAATTAATTAATTAATCCTGATCATACTGATTTATCACTTATAATTTTATCATTTTAAGAACAAAATTTATAAATAATTTTACCATAAATATACAATAAAAAAGGCAATTAACACATTCTCATTTTCTTATCATAATGCTAGTTCATAGAAATATAATGATATTGGCAGTGAGATAATGGCACATTGTATATCTCCCAACCTAGTCAGAACATTTGATAAATAGTGAGATCAAGTGCATTTGTTATTTTTATATTACATACAGAATATTTTGATTGTCCCTTAGTGTGTAATTCAAAGATATATCATGGGGGGTTAAATATCTCGTTTTAGCATATTATCTAAAAACATTTCTCGGAATGCTGCAAATACCTGATAATTAGAGCTCGAAATATTCGGGAATAAAAACATCCAAAATCGGTCGGGAACCGGGAGTAAAATCGTCAAAATCGGGAAAATTCGGGAATTAACTTTTATTCAATTCAATCACAATAATTATACATTAGAAACACATAATTTTTTCCAACTGTATCTCTGATTTTATCCATAATGTTATTATAGATGATTTTCTGTTTGTTTCTAAGTGTTGTGTCTGTTGGAACTGTTCTTTGAGTGAACTCTTCGAGAATGTCTTTGAATGGCGTTGACATCACTTTCCATAGAGGTATATTTGATTGAGTTAAAGCTTGGTGAAAACTTATAGAATAAATATATTTATTGTTTTCGGGATTATTTATAGTAAAAATTTGTCAAAATCGGGAATTTTTTAAAAATATGCCAAAATCGGGAATTTTCTCAAAATATGCCAAAATCGCCTTATAAGCCCTTTTATTTTCAACAAATAAAAATGAGATAATAATGAAGATTCTGATTGACCTGCAATAA